TTAGTATTGAGGTAATGAGGAACGCTTAAACGTTCTTTGCAGGTAGCTATGTCTCCAAAACTAGTATTGAAACAACATTAGTATTGAGGTAATGAGGAACGCTTAAATGTTCTTTGCAGGTAGCTATGTCCCAAAACTAGTATTGAAACAACATTAGTATTGAGGTGACATAGCTACCTGCAAAGAACATTTAAGCGTTCCTCATTTACTAATGTTGTTTCAATACTAGTTTTGGTGATATTGCTGCATGTTTTCCAATCACGCGGAGTTTATAAAATACCTTAGAACAAAAGAAGCTATGGACCATGCTAATAACACTAATCCTACATTTTTTTAACTCCAGTTTTTTTATGTAAAACCGATGGTTTTTGAAGATTAATTTAACGTCAATTTACCAAGTTGCTGTAAATTTTTTTGTTTCGTACAAGACAACTTGTTAAATTCTACAATACGTATCTTATATAAAGTATTTCATCTGTTTGATCTTTGTTTTAACCGTTGAGCTTTGAAGGTGAATTTTACATAAAATATCTCCAGCGAGAATACGGACTTTTTGTTCACTGACATATAATTTTGGTTCGTTTTGATGGTCATTGAATACACGAGTATATGATAATCTTACAATTAAGTGCACGTTTTTCACGGGTAGAAAGTACAACAGTCTGTTATAACATAAAAAAAGAGAGGTTGGTAAGTTGCATATTGTGTTTTCAATGGATTTATCCAAAAGTGATTTTACAGATCTGCCAGTCATTCCGGAGGGATGTTATTGCACACGTCTTACAGCTGTAAGTTGTAAGGACTTAAATCTCACCCAAATACCAGCAGGAATATCCCCTAACGTTACAAAACTGTAAGTTCCTTCATCTTGCTTGATATACAGAGCGTTTCTTTAGATTTAGAATGATGAATAATATTTGAAACAATTATTTTTCAATGTCTGTAGCATGTTGGCAGAGTATATTACGAATGCCTTCTTCTTCTATATTGAGTTATTTTCCATCAAGGAATCCAAGATCAGGGATAAAATGAGAAGACAATGATAAAACATATTCCATTATTTTCGATGTTCTTTGGTTTATACATTATACGTCGATATTCACCTGCACATAATATAAAGCATCTGTTATCTAGAATGTTGGAATAATTCTGTTAGGAAATTAAAAAAAAACATTTAAATAATCAATGCCATTTTAATGTTCAAAATATTCTACAGGGGAAGCAAGGAACATCTGGAACAGGTACGATAATCGAACTGATAAACATTATAATCAATAAATCCTCAGAAATATTATGTTTGAAATTACTAATAGATGCTTATAAGAGCAACTGATAATTATTTACGAAATGCATCCAATAGACATATTTTTATATAATATTATTTAAACGCATTAAGAATGGAGTTCAAATGTAGACTTTAAAGATGAGAACACTTAGATAACATCACCTACCTCAAATAAGATTGTGCTTTTTCATAACTTCGTTTGAATATGTTAAGAGTTTGTTACGTTGTTTCATCATGCATTATATATCTGACTTATCCTTTTTGAAATATACAGGATAATTTCAAAAGGATAAGTCAGATATATAATACATGGTTTATTGAAAACTATCCATTGTATCCATATGTATAGCTTCTGCCTAGTTTTTTATCTTTATATTTTTTCTACACCATTATGACATTATTCGTAAGTCAATAATTGCATGCTGAGAGATTAGAAAATTATTTCGTACAGACAGTCAACTATTTACTATTTAACTTTTTTTTATCATTTTTGCTTAGTTTGAAAATTTTACGAAGATATGTTTATATATATGAGTTATGTTTCATTATTTGTAGTGTTTATTTGACCATTATGAATAACAAGTGTGCAATTAATAATTTCAATATCTATGAATAAAATTTGCTTGTTTTAGGCCAATCTGTTTTTGGACTATCTGTTGTGTCCACCGCGGGGAATCGACCCCCGGATTTTAGCGTTGTAAGACCATAGACTTACATTGTCCCATCAATACGCGCACATTTTAAAAATGCGATTTGTGAAATGTTCAAGTCTCGTAATAACTAGAAACAATGTGTAATGATATATCATGTATAAAACTAGAAACAATATGTAATGATATATCATGTATAAAACTAGAAACAAGATGTAATGATATATCATGTATAAAACTAGAAACAATATGTAATGATATATCATGTATAAACGTTTTTCAAGCTACAAATAAATTAACATTTTCACAACTTTGATTTTATTCACGTTTTATCTTGTAGCACACTTTCCAACAACAAGATATCCGCGTTAACCAGAGGAGCATTCAGATCCTATCCTCAACTGAAGTCCATGTAAGTTCTTATTGATCTTCTTTCATCTTATTTGATTGGTTTGGTTTGGTGTGTTTTGAATTTCGCTCAAAGCTACACGAGGGATACCTGCACTAGCCGTCCCTAATTTATCAGTGATAGACTAGAGAGAAGGCAGCTTGTCAAAACCACCCACCGCTAACATTTGGGCTACCCTCTTACCAACGAAGAGTGGGGATTGATTGTCACATTATAACGCTCCCAAGGCTGAAAGAGCAAACATGTTTGATGACGGGGATTTGAACCCGCGACTCGCAGGTTTCGAATCGAACGCCCTGTCCATCAGGCCATGCCAGGCCTATCATCTTATTTGAACTTAGAAAAACGGAAGGAAAAATCAAAAAATGTATAAAAAATATCCTTAAATGGTTAGCACACTGATCCCTTAAATGGTTAGCACACTGATCAATAAGTCTGCACTCTGTTTTCCACAGAGGATTCGAACTCTGGATTTTAGCGTCGTAAATACGCAAATTCTCCGGGGCACAACTTATTATCTAAAGCGTAATTTAACGAATAATTAAACGTTATGCAAAGACTCTTCCTGCGAAACGTTCTAGATAAATCAGGAGTTCCAATTTTTAAAAACAGACATAATGTTGGGCGCAAATAATTTTAATTTTCCCAAGAAATCGTAAGTCTACAATTAAACTTTTCATGAAGTGTTTGTCTGTATTTAGGCACAAAAACTACACAATGTGCTAGCTGTAATGTGCCCACCACGAGTATCGAAACCCGGTTTTTAGCGTACACGTTTACAGACTGGGGGGCTTTATGAAGTATTTACCTCTATTTCTTAATAAACTTCAAAAGGGGGTATTTGGTGTGTTTTGGGATGACACATAATAAAACACAAACTACGAAGTATTTGCACCCACATTCATTATTACAAAAACAAATAAGCTTAATTATCAATTAATAACTTTCCTTTAGCAATTATAGTTATTTTTGGGGGGGGTATAAAATGTTCACATATTTTAAAAGCGACAAATCTTTATTGGCTAGTCAGTAATTGAAAAAGAGGCTTCGCTTGTTTATTTGTTTGCTTTGTTGTTGTTTTTTAGCACAAAGCTACACAATATGTTCTTTACCAAACACAGGTATCGAAACCCGATTTTTTTTACATCACAAACCCACCTGCCGCTGAGCCACTGGGGTAGGGGAAGGAGTTGCTTTTATACGATTTTAACAAACTTTCAATATAAGTTTATTCAACTGATTTTGATTTTAGTTTTATTGAATAAAAAAAGATACAAGAATATATGGTATTAAACAGCTGTTGTTAATTCCTTATTTCAGCTCTTTGGCTGGAAATGACATACGACATCTACCGGCAGAAGTGTTTACTGGTATCAATGATCTTGTCAAATTGTGAGTGAAGAGTGATCATTTTCAAAAAAAGTTGTTATATGTTCTATAAAATAAAATTTATAAATCTTGTATATAGCTGTTTATTATTCAATCCTTTATTTCATACTTATACGTATCAGTAACTCAGCTGAATCATCACTCGAAGAAAAAAAAAAAAGGAACAACAGATTCACGATATTACTCCACAGACGTTGTGGTCTTTGTAGAATATACAGTTTTATTTGGTTAACATTCGGAATCAACAAAAAATGATTTATATATGTTATAATAGATATAAAGAAAACGAAACTATGGATACGTGAAATATTACAGGATAATACTGTATGACAGTGTGCTTCTTACAATGCAGAAAATTAAACGATAAAATATATTTGGTAAAAACGCATTAATTGTAGCCAAAAAAGAAATCTCCAGTCATGCTGCCGTTTAACGATAAGAGTATATCGCGTTCCGCAAAAGACTGAGGACCTAGAAAAAAAAACATAAGAACTTGAACCTAAGGGAAACTTAATATCACGTGATTTGGTCAGATTTTAATTAATTTTAAAATACTTTTTGTTTTATTGAACTAATGCTAGCGCATTGTTACATTATATTTTTATGTAAACTCATCCTCATCTAACCAAATACGTTTCATTTTTCACAAAACTAATAACGATATTCTCGTCACAGTTCTCGTGTCTAAAGTCTGTTTCTCGTTTTGTTCTTCTAGGTATTTGCAGCACTGTGCAATAGAATCCATTTCATTAGAAGCTTTCAGGGGCTTAGGATCATTAAAAGAATTGTAAGTATAAAAGAAAAACATGGGCACATTCATATAAATTATACAGATCCCCACTTGGCTATTTTTTGCGTAATTTTTAGTTATGATTGCAAAAGGTTAATTCCATTTGAATTTCACAATATAATACTAGTTATTTTGATTTAAATCATATAAAGTTAATTTCAAACAAGATCTCGAAACTTATTCTCGCCTACATGAAATCTAAAGAACAATAACTTTAATGTTATGTCTCATATATATATATATATACCTTCTAATGTTTAATTGTATGATGTAAAGCACAAAGCTACACAATGGGCTATTTGTGACATGCCCAGCGCGGGTATCGAAACCCAATTTTTAGTATTATAAATCCATATTTACCTTGAGCCAGCTCTATAGGCGATTTTGAAATTAAGCATTACATATTCCAATGTTATGTTTTTTTTTAGCAAATCTAGGTAACAGTATTTCCAAATCACAGTACATGGACCTTTCAATGCAATATATAATTTTATCAAATTTAGGTGTCTATCATTTCCAATTTATGCTTCAGACTGTTTTTTCACTCCAAATATTTCTTATCAAATCTCTGTGTAGGTGATTTTCCAAATTAAGCATGATACGTTTCTTCTAAAACTACATATTTGTTTTGAAATCCGTACTTCCGGATGCCATACTTAAATTTATGTAGAGGTAATTTCAAGTTATTTCCTATATACCTTTTAATCTAATATGTTTAGAAAATCTAGCAAGGAAATATTCCAAATTCACCTCTAACACAATAATAAATAGATGTAATTTCCAAGTTTTATCCTATAATAACATGCTTAGAAAATCTAGTGAGATAAGATTCCAAATTAGGCCTCACGTGTGCCTGTGATGCTATTGTTTTTTGTTTTATTTTAGTCTCGATGTTTCATTTAAAGAACAGATGCAGTACAAGAGCATAAGAGAACAAAATTTACAAGACCTATATATTCAGAATATATTTAAATGTTGATATTGTTCGTTTTATCAAACATTACTTTGAACCTGATTAATCTTTCTGCAAGGAACTGGATTGCCCTTTAAAATTTCTTCAAAATAAAACATCATTTTCTTGAAATGTAAACAGAAGAAAAGTTTTATGTACACAATATAGCCTCAGTAATTTATGTGTATTATTTATGCAAATAAAATTTCGATTTAGACGAAACTTTATTTAAGGATTTAATTCGAGGAGTTAAAACACGAATTTTTAGTAACATATTAATTTAAAAAAAAGGCAAATCGTTAGGTTTATTTGTTTGTAGTTAAGCACAAAGCTACAGAAACTTCTATCTGTGCTCTGCCCACTACTGGTATCGAAACCCGGTTTCTAGCGTTGTAAGTCCGCAGATATGTCGCTGTGCAACTGGGGGGCCAAAACGTTAGGTTTGTTTGCTTGTAGTTAAGCACAAAGCTACAGAAACTTCTATCTGTGCTCTGCCCACTACTGGTATTGAAACCCGTTTTCTAGCGTTGTAAGTCCGCAGATATGTCGCTGTACCACTGGGGGGGGGGGCAAATCGTTAGATTTGTTTGTTTGTAGTTAAGCACAAAGCTACAGAAACTTCTATCTGTGCTCTGCCCACTACTGGTATCAAAACCCGATTTCTAGCGTTGTAAGTCCGC